GCACAGGTGAGCTGGAGCCAGCTCTAATTGGCTTGTGAGAGCCTATGGTTAGATATTTAAGCATTTTGTGAACAGTTGTTAAGCCATTGGCTTGAAATCAGTGTGATGGGGTATTTACACAATAGAAATTGGCAAATGCTGCAAATCATTTTTTTTTTTTGAGGGCCAGCTTACTTGCACACTACAGACCATAGCCCAACTCTTATTTATGTATAAATTTCTGAAAAATCTGAAAAAAAAATTTAATAACTCCTTACTTTTCCTCTGTAATTTGAAGCTATATTGTTAGGTACATGAAGGCTCATGATCTGGTAGGTCGTAACTTTTAGGTGGATTATGCAGGATGTAGGGAAGGCTCATGTACATTATCCTTTGCATGGCTTAGTACTTATCACATGAATTCTAATTATTCTGGTATTGTTATTATTATTATTATCATTATACTTGTATTTGCTTAACATATCTTTTTCTGTTCTTGCATTCAAGCTTTTTGTACTATTTTACTTTTGTTCCATTTCTCATAAATAGCATATTTTAAATGTATCTGCCTATCTTTCTCTTACTCTATTTTTTAAACACAGTCCAAGTGTCTATCTTTTAGTAAGCGAATATAGTTTTTATCACGTTTGCATGTGTGAGTGGATGTACATGTATATTTAGACTGACTACTGCCACATTACTCTTTATGTCTGTTTTTTACTGTGTTTTCTTTGTTTAATTTCACTTTTCTGACTACGGCCACTTCCATTACATTGCTTAAGTTTTCTTGCCTCATTTTCCTTTTTTTTGGTTTGGAAATTATAACGATATGTCTAGTTTTTTGTTTTTTCTGTAGGAAACTTTTCTCTTGATTTTTTTTTTTTTTAGTTAATCATCATGTGTTACACATTCCCCAAATAAAATAATCTTCTTAACATGAGTTTCCTTCTTCCTTCTCTCATATCGTTTCCCATGTGGAGATTATTTATGATTTTCTTCCATATTTCTATTTGGAAAAATACATATTAGGTCAGTAGTTGCCTCACGATGGGAGTTGGAAATGGAGTGACTGCAAAGAGGCATGAGAGAAATTTGATTATAGATATGCTTTATATCATAGTTGTGGTTATGATAGCACAGATATATACAATTATCAAAACCCTGCATATCATATACCTAAAATGGGTGTATTTTATTATCTTGAAATTATACCTCAATAAAGTTTATTTTAAAAGTGCAGTGGAGAATGTCAGAGAGAGAAAGGATATAGGATGTAGAGAAGGAAGGACCTTTAGAGGTTGCATCTCGAGAAATTATAATGGCACATATTCTCCAGCAATACTTTGTAGCTAGGAATTTGAAATTGGCAAAATGAAAGTAGCAGAAGATGAATGTGGGAGAATCTTAGGGTGTTGTTTGGGATATTGAAGGGACTGACTGGGACAGCTGCTGGATGGGGAGGCAAGTGCAGCTACGAGGCTGATAGTTGTGAATGGGGACAATGTGGTTGTAAACAAATGAATCAAATCCAACACAAGTAATAATGTGCTTGTTGTGCTCGTTATGTATCATGTGTGCTTTTATGTGTTGGAGGCACAGTGATAAACAAGACAGCAACATTTCTAACCATAAGAATCTCACATTTTTGCAAAATAGATGAATGAGTGAGGTAAAAAAAAAAATTCTTAGAAAAGTTGCCGTTAGTTACTTACACCCAATGTAAGTGTTAACTTGTTTTATGCTCCATTCCTTCTGAAATCCCACATCTTTTTCTCTTTTCTTGGGTAATATTTGTATTTTCCTGGAATGCATTTCCACATAATTATGTCGCAGGCATTCTGTGGATCTTACATTTTCTAAGGTCTGGTTTGAAAGAATGTTCTTTGCCCTCCTTCTCAAATACTGTGATTGCTTTTTAGGTTCAAATTAATGTTCCCCTGGACTTTGAAGATTTAATCTATTGTCTTGTAAGTTCCATGATCAGATTCATCCTGATCCTTGTCCTTGAGTACTTGCTTCTGCTCCAAAGTTTGCTGTTGGCATGGTTTTCTTTAGGAATTAAGAAATGTATTTTAAAATTACCATGGTTTCCATTTATCCTATTTATTTCCCTTCAGTGTGACAACTCGTATTTTTTTTCCAACTCTATGAAATTTATTTTATCATTTTTGTGATTATTTCCTCCTCTCTGTTCTCTTTGCTCTTTCTGGAGTTCCTTTTCGATACTTTATTGAAATTTCTAGACCTATTTCATAATTTCCAGCTCTTTGTCACTTTGTGCTATGGTCTGAAAGAATTTCTTCACCTTTTCCGAGAATTTTGAATGCAGCCCTTTTGGAAAGTGAACTAGAGGCACAGATTTCACAGACTTCCTGGACAGTAGGTTAAATGTCACAGTTGCACTGTTCTGGAGAGGCTTCCCATGAAACCTGCCTTAGAGAATTGTCCTAACTAGCGTTTTTCAAAAACACTTACATAAAACATTTTTCAAGAATATTTGCGCACACACACAAAAAGCACATGAACATGTTGCCATATAGAACTATGGTCAGAAAGTGGTGAGAGCGTCTCCTGTGTATGCCCTCTCACAACATATATACATCATTGTTGTCTTAGGTGATGAACTTCCTGAGGTGTTCCTGTATTCATTTTTTACAATACCATTATTTAATTAATGCCGTTTGAGTAGTCATGGTAACTAAGGTGTCCAAATTTTATCACTGCCTTTGTTCTTGGCAGTATAGGTATTTAAATGGTTACAATTTGTTTTGGAAGCATTTCAGTATAATTAAAATTTTGTCTTAAGTATTCTCAAGAACTTAAATGTTGTTTTATTAAAAATAGGTATATTTAAAATACCTGTAACGTTATAGTTATATGGAACATCTTACTTAATCATTTATTTTGTTGTTTTGGTAAACTGAGATTTATAGGCCCTGTTAACATGTTGTATGGCCATATGAGAGAATTAAATACCAACTTCAGATCTTATATTTGTGTGAATTAATTTTTAAAAGTCATAGTAGTAACCATGGTAACATAGTTCATAATGGGTTTTGGTTGTTTTTTTTTAGATTTACTAGTGAACACAGATTGTGTTTTGCGAAGTTTCATGTTTGAAAATTTCATAATATTGGTGTCAATTGAAAACAATTACTGAAAAATGCTAGTACCATTACTGACAGGACAATTTGAGACATTTAAAGATTATCAGTTTCTCAGCTGCACTCAAATGGGACCAATTAAGAAATCCACAGGAGCCAGAGGTCTGCAAACTGTAGACTGTGGGTCAAATTCACCAGCCGTCTGTTTTGATAAATGAAGTCATATTGGAACACAGCCATACCCATTCATTCAAGCATTGTCTATGGCTGTTTTCACACCAGAATAGCAGTTACAAAATTGTAACAGATGCCTACAAAGCCTGACATACTATCTGGCCCTTTGGAGAAAAATCTTACCAATTCCTTCTTTATACAGTGGCAACTCTTATCTAATGCCACTTTCATCCTGTTATCAAATGACTCACTTTTATCTGAATACACACTTGTTTGTGGATGTTGTTGCTCAAGCTCTTACTTTCGCCTAAAATGTTGTTTCTCTCATTTTACTCATATCTAAAATCTACCCATTTTCTTTTAAGTTGTGATTCCAGTAGCACTTCCTCTATGAAGTTTTATAATAAAAAAAGAAAATTAAATTTCCTGAACATCGTTCCTTTACACTCCCTCACATAGATACTCGACAACACCTTGCCTCTGAAACATCCGAAAAACAAAATAATTTAATTATTTGAGTGTACAGAATTTAATCGTAGTGAATCCGTATGTCAAGGGACAGGGTAGATTTTTATTTTTTCAGGGGAGGTTAACAAATATTAAATATATACTATTTTAAAAGGAGAGAAAAAAATCATTGTGGATATTTTATATATTTTGGTTTAAAAATTTTTTTTAATCAAATGGAGTCAAATATGGAAATGTGTAATCTTCACACTCTTCACCTCTTTGAATTCAAAAAAGTAGAATTTTGTTACTTATGAAATTCTAAAATGATGTTTCAGTTAACAGTGACTTAGTTTGCCAAAGAACAAAATCGAACTGAGTAAATGTGAAGATCTAATTGGCTTTATTAAGCGAGTCATGAAAAGGGTAGCATCTTGTCTAGCAGTCAGAAGTGGGGCTCTGAGGAGTTGTACAAATTGGAAGGTTTTATAGGAAGAAGGGTGGGGCAAGGGAGCTATTAGCAAAAGAAAATAAAGGATTATACCAGGAGTGCCAAAAAATGTATACACATGACTTGTATTCATCTATTGTTATTGGTATACATTGAGTATTACAATTTTATTAGTTTTTTTTCCTTTTTTAAAATGTGTATACATTTTTTGGCACCCTCTGTATTTAACCAGGACATCTTTTTTGGGGGTGGGAGGGAAGGCAGTTGTTATCACGCAGACTGCCTCTTTGGCCTCTGAGGAATGGAGAAGGCCCACATGACGAATTCCCTCACTGTTGTCCAGGAAACTCCAGCCTGCTTGATTAAGATGGTATTTCTGAGAGAGGCTGAAACAGTACTTAAGTCAGTTATTAACTCTAGGTTTGTCACTATTTGGGGCCCGAGGTTTTCTCTTTAACAATTTCAAAGACTGAAGGCATCTATTCATTTCTGTAGAAGCAGCTTTTTATGTTGTTAATTAAATTAACAGTTTGTAGTTTATATGAATTCAGGTATTTGGTTGCTTCTTCTGTTCACAAATATGGCTTTGGCATTTGCCAGTTCAGGAACATCATCGTGGAAAGGGTTGGGCTTTGCAATCGAACAGACCTCATCTCAAATCCTGGCTGTCAAATACTTGCTGTGGGGCCCAGGCAGCTCACCCAAAGGCTGCTCACCCTACCCCATAGGATTGTTGTGAGGATTCAGTGTGATGCATATATTAAATAACTAATAGAGTGCCCATGAAAGAAGAAGGTGCTCAATAAATATTAATTCCTTTCCCTCTCTTTCTCCCACCCCACTAGTCTGCTTGTGTTTTAAATGGATCATTCTTTATCCTGGATTGTGTCATAGGAAGTATTCTGGATGGATGACTGCTGGAGACCCATTGCTATAGCCAGCTCTTCTTCAATATTTAAGGACTTAACCTGGCATTGAGTAATGAGAATTTCGGTAAGACAAATTGGATGAAGATAGTGTGTGGGCTTTTCTTAAAAGGTCACTTAAATCTCAGATACTTCATACTATTGCTCCTCTCTAAAACACTGGGATGTCACAGAGGTCTGTTCAAACATGGATTATTCTTATTTTGAAAATAAATAATTAGGTTTGTAAAACTCTGTTAAGAGCCCTGACGTGCTTTTTATGAGTGAAATATATTATTTCACTCATCTCATCCTGTTTTGTTCTTTAAATGTCTGTCTCCTCAGTGAATTGTGTAGTCTTTGAGGATGAGGTCTTGGTGTTACTTATCCCATCGGTGTAGACCAAGTGAAGTATAGGTTCTTCGTGGTTAAGGGGGCAGTCACACGGCTATCTGAAATTCTAAAACATTGACAACATGAAAGAGGCTGACAAAAGTATCAAAACTCTAGGAAGTTCTAAGTTAAGTGATTTTCATAAATCACCAAGAAAAATTAGTATATAGTGACTCTCGGGATGACATAGAGAGTATTTTTATTGGTTCCATTTCTATCCAATTTTTCTCTAAATGATGTTAATATATAATTAATTTTTATATAGTTACATGAACTTAACATAGAGCTATTATAGTAAACTATTGTTGTTCATCTGTGCTGGACAAAACTTGTTGGTCTATTAAAAGTGGAAGAAAGATGAGAGGGCATTCAAGGATAATAGAAAAACAACAGTGGTAATATTAGTAGATATATAAATTTTCTTAAAATTAATGTGCATTAAAAACATATTAAAGAATTTTGCCCATAGGAAACAGAGCTGGAGGGGGGAGCAAAAAAGTTCAATTCTAGTTTTATTAATTTTGATAAGGAATATTAATTCCTAATTTTTTCTAAGATAGAAGCTATTAATTTTAATATTGCTTTTTAATTTTAAAAATTAACCATTTTCTCTGATTAAATTTTTCAGAAACCATATTTGAGAAGTACGTCCATCCAGTGCTATTTGTGTTTACTTCTAAACAGTCATTTTTTAACTGAGGCTGGCATTCATGTCTTCATTTTCAGGTAATTTGATCTTTAGGCATAAATATCATTATGCTAATGGCCATGATCATTTTCTTCAATGTCTTCTCTATTAAATTGGTTTATTAAATTGTTTACACCTTAAGTAGTCAGTATTTGCAGTTTATGGAGACTCAGAAAAGTTCTGTACACACCCAACTGAGCGTGTCTTTCTTCCGGTAGTATAGAAATGAATATTATATCCTCCAAATAGAGTGGACCTCTTGTTCTCTAACTCAGCTTGGAAGCGCATTCCTTATTAATATCCTGCATGATTTTCATTGCAGTAATAACATAGGTATTTAGGGCTCGCCCATGTTACTTTGTATATCTATTTCCTGGCACTGACTTCTCCTTTTCTAGCCTTATCCTAGTTTAGTTCTAAAGATTCCTTTCTTTATTTAGACCTTTCATTTTTCCTCCTAGTAACCATTCATATTTTTCCATGCTTGTTAACTTTTTTCTTCTTAGATGCAGCTAATACTCGGTACCCACTTGGCCTAAGCACCCAACCTATAGTTACATAATCTGATTCAGTTCAGTTCTACCAATACCTTCCTGGTGTAGGGAACCTTAGATTTGTGCAAGTAAATCTTACAAGAAAGATTAGCGTTGGCTCTCGTGCTGCTATAAAAATCCATCAGGGAGCAATTGATTTTCCTGTAGCTCTAAGAATGGTTCCACAGTCACTTGATCAGTATATATGTGTCTTTTCTCCAGGTATTAAATTTCTATTTTACCAAAATGAGTAAGTATATAATCATTCAGCCTAGATTGGGCTAAAGTCTATAATGTTTACGGATCAAGCTGTTGCAAGCATAGTAATAATGTGAGCAGTGTACAAGGGACATGTTTAATCTACTGTAAAGAACCTTACTGTCAAAATCATTACATGAAAATGATTATTTCTTATTTTAAGAATTTTACCTATTTATTAGACTTAAAAGCTTGATGGGACCTCTATTTAAAGAAAACTAGTAATTCATTCAAAAATATTTACTGAGTATTATCACACATCAGATACTGTTTTTGTTCCATTATAATAAGTTGCACCAGGTTGTTTTAAGTTATTCCTCCAAAGTAGGCTTTTCTCTAATCCGGACTTATCAGTCCCCAAGTGAACTTAAGATGTCAATTTTGTACTACACGTTTTGTGTTTCTATTCATTTAGAAGGCTGTGGAATGCACAAAGACAAGGATAATACTCATCTTTTCACTGTTGAGAGTAAAGAAACCATTGTTTTTTTCAGAGTAAAAAGTTCTTGGCGTCTCTGTTGCCTTTAGTATTCATCAAGACAATACTAACTTTATTCAAAATGCTTTACTTTTTTGGTTTTGCTTTCAGCTGTATCAGTGCAGGTCTTCCTAAAACAGAGGCAAACTGGCAGGATGTAATAAGTGATTTGAAAATGTTTGAAACTCTTATTCAAGTAAGTCTTTATTTTTTTCCATAAAGTATCTCATATAATTCCTATGAAGCATGCCTCTCCCTATGTTTTGCTGTCAGTCTTAATGAAATCTCACTTGAAATTGTAATATTTTTGTAGAAATTTATGAGCCTTGTAAAGCCTCAAGTAAAATCGTTTACTTATAATGTTCAGATCCTAATTATCTTTAAAGCTCAATTTATAAGTGACCCAGCATGAAGAGCTCTCTCTGTCACCACAGACCAGAGAGTCCCTCCTCCTACCAGAGAAACCAGGTGATTTTGTGGCACTTGCCAGGTGGAATGGCCTGACCCGGAGGAAGGCTTTCTGTTCTGTGGCCTAGGGAACCCCTTCTCCCATGTAAAGATGGCAGCTGGCCTGGTAGAACCTGCATGGGGAGAAGGGAAGAGGAGCCCACTGACAACTGTGGCCAGGGAAGTGCCTTTGCCTAGCAGTGGGTGACACAGTAAGGACCAGTGGGAGTCCCAGTGGTGTGAGGTGAACCACCCTTCCAAGTTAGCACCACAAAGATTCTAAAAACTAAATTGTCATTGGAATCCCAACACACAAACGTAAGTCAGAACCTGCATGCTAACCCTAAACAGGGTGGCTGCAGGCTAACATAGACGATTTAAATAGAACCAGGGTCTTTTACCATAATTGCCAAAATACCAGAATACAATTGAAAGTCACTCATCATATCAAGAAGCGAGAAAATCACAACTTGAATGAGAAAAGATAATCGACAGACTCAGAAACTGATATGGGTTAGATATTGGGATTATTTGACAAGGATTTTAAAGCAATCATCATAAAAATACACCAGCAGGCAATTACAAATACCATTGAAAACAACTGACAAAAGCAAAAAATCTTAGCAGAGAAATAACAATATGCAAAAGGAATCAAATAGAAATTATAGAAATGATAAACACAGTGTCTGAAATACAACACCAATTGGAGATGCTCAATAGCAGAATGAATATGACAGAAGAAAGACAGTGAACTTGAAGATGGAATGATAGAGAGAAAACAGACTGAAAAAAAAAATAAAATAAAACCTCAAAGATCTTTGAGACAATGAAAGACCCAACATTCCCAGCAGAAGGAGAGGAGAAAGAGAATGCAAGTAAGAGACAGAGACTGGCCGAACTGATAGCAGAACACAAACTGACTTTATGCTCGTCTACAAGAAATTCATTTCAGATACGATGACATACATAGGTAGGTTGCAATTAAAAGGAAATAAATAAATAAATAAATAAATAAATAAATAAATATATATATATATATATTTATATATATACCATATTATACTGGGTTAACTAATGTCCCCTCAAAATTCATGTCCACCAAGAATCTCCGAAGGTGACCTTATTTGGAAACAGGGTCTCTGCAAATATAATTAGTTAAGGTGAGGTCATGCTGCCGTGGGTTGACCCTAACTCCAATGACTAGTGTCCTTATAAGAAGAGGACAGGACACATAGAGACTCACAGTAAAGTGGCCATGTGAAAATGGAGGGAACTACAAGCCAAAAAAGATGGGGATGATGCAGCTACAAGTCAGGGAAGGCCAAGGATTGTCAGGAGCCACGAGAGGCCTGGGAGAGCTAAGGAAAGCTTGTTCTCTAGACCCTCCAGAGAGAGGATGGCCCTATAGATTTTCCCTATTGTTTTCCTGATTTCAGTTCCATTAATTGCTGCTCTTATCTTTATTATTTCCTTCCTTCTGCTTGTGTTGGGCTCAATTTGCTCTTCTCTTTCCAGTTTCTTGAGGTGGGAACTTATTTTCGCCTCCAGAACTGTAAGAGACTAAATTGTTGTTGTTTTAAGCCACTCACTTTGTGATACTTTGTTACAGCAGCTCAAAGAAATTAATACACATGCGCACAATAATTTTAAAAATCAGGACTGGCTATATTAATATCACATGAAGTAGACTTCACAGCAATTAAAGAGGGGTATTACATAATGGTAAAAGATTAATCTAACAGGAAAACATAATGATCTTAAATGTGTACACACCAAACAATAGAGCCTCAAAATGCATGAGGCGAACACTAATAGAACTGAAAGAAAAAACAGACAAACTCGGTTATAGTTGAGGACTTTACCACCTCCTTAGCAACAGTTAGAGCTACGGGACAGAAAATCAGAAAGGGTATAGAAGAGCTGGACAACATGGTCAACCAATAATATCTAATTTACATAAAGAGAATACTGTACCCAACAATGGAGAATAAACAGTTTTTCAAGCACCATTCACCAAGACTGAACATATCCTGGGCAATAAAACAAAGTTTAACAAATTTATCAGAACTGAAATTATAGTGTGTTCTCTGACCATAGTGGAATCAAGTAGAAGTCAATTACATAAACACAACAGGAAAATCTCCAAACATTTGGAAATTAAATAATACACTTCTAAATATTCCACGGTTAAAAGAGTAAGTCTCAAAATATATTTTAAAATATGTAGAATGGAATGAAAATGAAACATATCAAGATATGTGGGATTGGGCCAGCCGAGTGGCTCGTTGGTTGAGAGCTGGCTTAGGACGCCAGCTCTTAGCAGCAGGGCCACCGGTTCAGATCCCACATGGGCCAGTGACGCTGCCCTCTACAGCTAAGATGGAGACTGGTAGCTGGGCTGCCATGAGTCACGGGTGATGGCGTAGGCTGCAGTGGGGCTGCAGTGGGCTGCCCTAAGCTACCGTGAGTGGCCGGCAGCTGCTGTGAGCAGCCATCCAATGGCTGGTGAGTGACTGCCTCACCCAGGAAGAGCGCAATGATCATACCAACATGGGCCAGTGAAGCATCCACAACTAGACTGAAGAACAAAAGGACAGCAACTTGTCTGTTCCCCTCCCCCAATTTCCCAATAAAATCTTAAAAAATAAAAGATATGTGGGATTAAACTAAAGCATTACCAAGAGGGAAATTGATAAACCTAAATGATGATGTTAGAAGAGAGGAAAGATCTCAGATCAACAATCTTAAGTTCCCACCTCAAGAACTGGAAAGAGAAGAGCAAAGTGAACCCAACACAAGCAGAAGGAAGGAAATAATAAAGATAAGAGCAGAAATTAATGAAATTGAAATCAGGAAAACAGTAGGAAAAATTGATAAAACATAAAGCTAATACATTATTTGGGGAAAACTCAATAAAATTGATAAACCTCTGACTGACAAAGATAAAAAGAGAGATGACACAAATAATCAATATCAGGACTGTACTTGGGGACTAGAACTACAGAACCTATAGTCATTAAAAGGATAATGAAGAAAAACTATAAATACCTTTACTCTGGTAAATTTGAAAACTTAGTAGCAATGGACCAATTCCTCAAAAATCACAAAGGACCAAAACATAACAAAGATGAAATAGATAACCCAATAACCACTAAAAACATTGAATTTGCCAAATATTAGCTCCCCAAAAGTAATCTTCTGGCCCAGCTTCTTTTACTAGAACATTCTAGTGAACATTTAAGGACAAATTAACACCAATTTTAAAGTTTCTTCTAAAAATAGAAGGGGGAATACTTTCTAAATCATTTTAGGAGACACATATTACCCTGATGCTAAAACCAGACAAAGACAGTACCAAAAAAGAAAACTACAAATATCTCTAATGAACTTAGATGCAAAAAATATCAATAAAATGTTAGCAAATCAAATATATCAATGACCAAATGGGATTTATTCCAGATACGCAAGACCTGTTCAATATTTGAAAATCAGTTAATGTAATCCACCATATCAACAAGCTAAAGTAGAAAATTGTATGATCACATCAATTGATGCAGAAAAAATTTTAAAAAAACACAATACCTATTCATGATAAAGTTTCTCTGAAAACAAAGACTAGAGGGAGAACTTCAACTTGATACAGAGCATGTACAAAAAACCTAGAGCTAATATTGTACTTACTGAGGAAAGACTGATTGTTTTTCCCCTAAAATTGGACACAAGGCAAGGATATCTTCTCTCACCACTCTTATTCAGTATAGCATTGGACCTTTAGATAAATCAGTAAAGCATGAAAAATTAAATAAAAGGCATAAAGTAAGAAAAAAAGGAAAGGTACACAGATTAGAAAGTAAGATTACATTAACCCAGGTCTTTTTTGGGGAGAAAGTACCAATAAATAGCTGTATTTATTTAGGGAATGCAAATTAAAACCACAATGACTTATCATTATGCACTTACAAGAATATCTAAAATTAAAAAAAATAGCGATAATGCCAAATTCTGGCAAGATTGTGGAGAAACTGGATTCATATAGTGTTGGTGAGAATGTAAAATTGTGTAGCAACTCTGAAATAGTTGGGCTGTTTCTTACAAAACAAAACATGCATTTGCCATATGACCCAACAATTGCACACTTGAATATTTATATCAGAGAAATGAGAACTTGAGTTCACACAAAACCATGAACTTGAATGTTTGTAGAGCTTTATTTCTAACAGCTAAAAACTGAAAACAACACAGGTGTCCTTAGACAGGTGAATGGTTAGCCTATGGTACATCATATCATGGAATAATACTGAGCTATAATAAGGAACGAATGATGGGTACAAGTTATATGGATCTCCAGAGTATTATGCTGTGTGACAAAAGCCAATCTGGATAAACAAATGGTGGTGCATCCAAACAATGGAACCTTTTTCAGCTATAGAAAGAAATGAGCTATGAAAAGACATGGGGAACCTTAAAAACATCACTAAGTAAAAGAAGCCAATCTAAAAAGGCTACATACTGTATAATTCCAACTATATGACATTCTGGAAAAGGTAAAGCTATGAAGACAGTGAAAACATCAGTGGTTGCAAGAGGTTAGGGGAGAGGGAAGGATGAAGAGACAGAGCACGGAGGGTTTTTAGGGCAGTGACACTGTCTTGTATGATACTGGAATGGTGGATACATGTCATTATACATTTGTTAAAACCCATAGAATAATCACCAAGAGTGAACCCTAATGTAATCTATGGACTTTTGTTAAAAATGTGTCACTATTGACTCATCAATTGTAATCGATGCAGCACACTAATGCAAGATATTAGTACTAGGGGGGACGGAGGAGGGATGGGCAAGAGGATAAGATATATGGGGACTTCCTGTATTTTCTGCTTATGTCCTATAAAAGTCTTATAAACCTACAACCATTCAAAAAATAAAGTTTGTTAATTTTTTCTAAAGGTCACACACTGTGTGATTCCACTTATATAACTTTCTTGAAATGATATCAAAGCAGTGAAGAGCAGAGAAGTGGTTGCCAGCAATGAGAAGGATAGGGTGGGGGTGAGATGCATAGGGAGAATGGTGATTTGGGCTGTGGAAGAGCAGCAGGAGGACGCTGACAGTGATGGAACTGTTCACCTTAACTTGGTGGTGGTTACATGAATTTATACATCTGATAAAATTGTATAGAAACACACACACACACACACACACACACACACACACATACACATACACACACTGTAGTGCACATAAGACTGGTGACATCCGAACAAAGTGCAGGGATCGTATCAAGGCAATTTCCTGGTCGTAATATTGTACTATGGTTAAGCAGGATATTATCATTGTGTGGAAATGGTGAAGGGTACACAGGATTTCACTGTATTTTCTCTCACAATTGCACATGAATCTAAAATTCTCTCAAAATAAAGAATTTAAACAGCTTAATTTAATGTTGTCAGGTTGTTCTCATTGTCTCTAAAGCAGTGCATAACTTTTTATGTCTAATTTTGTTTCCTTTTAGTCTATACATATTGATGCCACTTTATATACTGAAAGTGATGCTCATGTGAGTATAGGTTTTTTTTTCAAAATTACTATATTTTCCAGTTTTCAAAAAACCTAAGAAGTATATTTTCATAAATTTACTGAAATATGTACATTTTTTAAATATAAATTTTGGTATGATCTTACAATATGTGATCAATGAATTTCATAAGTAATTGTTGAGCTTGTAGGACAATCAGAGACAAAGAGCTACATAGATGCTATTTCCCTAAAACGCTCATATATAAAAGCCTTTTCCATCAATGTCAGACAAAATATATTATACATTTATGTGATGAATTAGGTCATGATGCAATTAAATGCAAGAATCAGGTTAATTGATTGAATTTAAAAGTATCCAACGTATCAGTTATTTCCAGTGCTGTAGTGTATTACCATCTTTAATCATATTTTCTACAAATTGCTTAAACGCAACTTATGTTCTACCTTTTGCATGAATTTCTATAATTGTTGAAAAGGATTCTGGCTGGCCGGTTACTCTATGTGAGAAAAGAAACACAACCCATAAAACCTATCAGAATTCAAACCTGATCTTGAACTTGTTTCATTAATACACTGACATTGTTTAAGGCATGTATGATTTCAGTTGTGTTGCTGGTCATTTCCCTCTAGATTGGTTACCAAAAATCGAGAAGCAAATCCCCCACTTCTTCACCTCATGGAAAACAAACTCTATGTTGTGTACACTCAGAGCAGTGAATCCTCTCTGTTCTTTCTCAGAACTTCTCTCAAATAGAAGGTTTTGCCTCCGCCAAGATTTCCTAAGCATTGGGAAGAAGCCATAGCCAGAAACTAGGAAAAATATAGAAATCTATCAACCCGCTGGATAGCACTGCTACACATAGAAATTGTCTCCCTCCTTTGGCTCCAGCAGGTTTTCCATTTTCCTTTGCATTTTTTTCAAAGTAAAAAGCAGTCCATTAACCACCAACACTCAGCATCCTGAGATTGCTTGTTTTTTTTGTTTTTGTGTTTTTTGCAAGAAGATAAATAACCTTGTGACTCATGGGTTGTAGAAAGCAGCTGAGATTGAAATTTAGATTTAAACCCCGACTCAGCCACTTCCTAGCTGTGTTACCTTGGAAGTCACTAAGCATTTCTGAACCTCAATTATTTATTTTATGATTTTGTTTCATTTATTATTTATTTTATTATCAACTTGGGGATAGTATTTTACCCTTTTGATCCTGAGCAGCTGCTGTGTGGGATAAGGAATACAGTGATATCCCCTTATCCACAGGGGATTCATTCCAATACCCCCAGTGAATGCCTGAAACCACAGATAGTACCAAACCCTAGATGTACTATGTTTTTTCCTATACGTATGTACCTGTGATAAAATTTGATTTATAAATTAGGCACAGTAAGAGATTAACAAAAAACAAATAATATTAAGACAGAAGTCATAACAATATACTGCAAAAAGTTATATAAATATGCTGTCCCTGTCTCTCTCAAAATATCTTATTGTACACTACTGACCCTTATGATGATGCTGCTAGATGATACAGTACCTACATGGCGAGATGAATGACGTAGGCATTGTCACATAGTGTTAAGCTACTATTGACCTTCTGATGATACATCAGGAGGATCATAAAGCCATGACCTATGAATTGTATATTTCTAGAATTTTTTATTTACTATTTTTGGGCTGTGGTTGACCACGGGTACCTGAAACCATGGAAAGCAAAACCACAGATGCGGAGGGGGTCGGGGCAGGGGTGGGAGGGAGGTGTCTCCTGTATTGCCAGCACTAGGCACATGAGCGTGTTCTCTCCTACATTCATCTATTCAGTAAGTATTTGTTCAGTGCCTGCGGGGTCCCAGGTACTGTGCGAGGTATGGAGAACACGAAGTCAGACAAGGCATGGTCAGATCCCAGATGCTCATTAAATGTTTCCTTTCTTTTAAGTTGAGGTTTGTGTTCAAGTAACCTTGTAGGAAACATATTTTTGTGGTGCCTCAAAGGTACCTTTCTGACTTGGCCAGCCTGTGAGTAGGCACCACCCCCATGTTGATTTTTCTAACGCATTTCTTAGCATCACATCTGCCCCTGGAACTTTGAAACTTGCAGGAATACCATGATTGGCAGCTACAGTTGTTTAAAATGTTAACGATACAACCTGATTCTAAAAATTCTTCCATATGCACTATCTTTATGAATGTTTTGAGAGTCTCAGGCCAGTATCTTCACCCTTTCACTCAGAGAAAATGTGCTCAGTGACTAAGAGTGGCCTATGATTTCCACGTGTTTTAGTTTCACATTCTTTCTTCTGTAAAACATCACCATCCTTCTTATTGTTTTGTCAGTTTGTTTTGGTTTCAATTTCAAAACCAAAAGCAAAAGAGAAAAAGCAAGCTGCTTCCTATGTAATACGTCTTAGGGTATTGTGTTTCTTTGTAAACTATTTGGATTGACTTTTTAAAACATCAAACTTGCGTTTGTGTGAAAATGAATAATGGGAAAATAATTCAGTTTCTTCAAAATGGTTCTTTGTAACTCTGTTTTCAGCCCAATTGCAAAGTAACAGCGATGCACTGCTTTCTCCTTGAATGGCATGTTATTGAGGAGGAGGCGAATAACACGGCTATTAGTGAGACAGTACACAACCTTTTGATGCTAGCCAACAAGAGCTTATCTTCTAATGGGGTGAGTTATCCAGTATTTGTACAGAGTTACATCAGAGGTTTTTAGCTTGATTGAGGAAATCATGAGTTGGATATCATGGAAAAGCACTCTGAAGGGAGAGGGCGTTCATTCCAGTGGCGTGGCATCCAGAAATGACCTCATCACTAATGTGCAGACAATCCTAAACTGTTCATTATTTATTTATTCAATAATCATTTACAGCATGACATCAGTCAGTGGGTTTCCATGCTAGAGTGACAGTGGTGAACCAGTCGGGTCACTGGCTTCAAGGTGTTTATCACCAGGTACAGTGGATAGTCTAATTATATTCTTAAGTATTTAGCATAACTAATAGTGATTCACATTTATTGGGTTATTACCCTGTGCCGGGTACCACTCTTCAAGGGTTAAATGGTAATTCATTGACTCTTCACAATAAACCTGAGAGATAGTTATCCTTGTTTCTGTCTTAAGGTTTAAGAAATTGGAGCCCTGAGATCTTGAATCATTTGTTCCAATTCGCTCAGCTAGCAAAATGGGGAGCCATTATTCAGACCCAAGCAGTTTCACGCCGAAGTCTTCTTATCTACTGACAGGATAAATGCTGCAACAGGATAATAATAAAAATATAATAATTTGAGCATAATTTGGACTATTCTAAGCAAAATGAACAATATAGGGTTCCAAGAGGGGGAATATTAGGGACTCCCATGGGAAGCTGTGGGGTCGGCTATGCAAAGGCCCTGAAGCAAAAAGGATTATTATGGCTTTTGTGGCAAAACACTAGTGGGCACAGCAAAGTGGATAGAAAGAAGTTTTATAAACCAAGAAGGCATAATAATAATTCATTAATTTAACAAATATGTTTTGGGCCCCATTGTAGAACCTCAGGAAAACAAAAGTGAAAAAAAAAATGGTCCCCGCTCTTAAGGAGAGAGGAAGCATACATACACCAATCAGTAAGCAAGTGAATAATAAGTCAGTTATTTATTAAGCCCAGTGGCCGAAAAGAGGGACGGTAAGGGGACTGGGATTCTGTTTTAGAGAAGGTTTACCTACCGTGCTGACACTTGGCAAAGATGGGAGGAAATGAGACGTAAGAATACTCAGAGGTGTACGTTTAGGCAGAGGCTAAAGTGCAAAGATCCTGATATCCGGGGAGACTGGACACCTTGTATTTTTCCTAATGATTACAGGCTGCTTGATGTCTGTGCTTAAATGTCCCCTCCTCAGTGATGTTACCTCTTTACAGTTGCAATCCCATCTCCACAACAGCATGCCCTATCCCCTCTCTGCATGTCCCTCTATCTGATGATATACTATATATTTTACTTAATGAATATTGCCTGCTTTTCCTTACCAGAATGTCAGCTTCAAAGGGGCAGGTATTTTTATGTTTTTCAGCTGTATCCTAACTCCCAGAATGACGCCTGGCACATACTAAATATTCAATATATTTTATGAAATGAATATATTAGTGTTTACAGTACTCCTGTGATACGTTATCTCTAGCTTATTGATAGAAAGACTGAGCCATGGAACAAACAATTCATAACAGTAGCAATGGTCAACTCTTTCACGTGCATGTTCACAGTTAACCTCAGCATGACACAGCGTGGCACATGTCGTGGAAGAATTGGGCAGGATCGCACAGTCAGAAGACCTGGACTTGGGGAATTTTACTGATTATGTCAGCAGAGGTGATTCATTTCATATCTGCCTTCCTATCTGACACAACTATTTGCAGGATCAATTAGGGCAGCATTCTATGGACTATGACAGTGCCTGTCATAGAGTCCGTGCTTAATAAATATTGGTGAATCTGAATTTCAAATGCTTAATGGATGTAAAATCTAATTTTGATTTTTGCTGGTATAGCTTTCATGGGTAAGATGACCTCTAAAAAGTGTATTTATGATTACCACATTTAAGGTATTCTAGTTACCCATGAAACTGTGTTCTAATTACAATTGTGGCATTCACCTAAATGGTTCAATTCAACCAATAATGATTGGGTGAATACTCTGTGCCAGGCCCTGTCTAAATGCTAGGGAAACAAAATTACACAGCCTTAATCTCCTGGAAGAGCTTACAGAATAGTGGTATAAAAGGCATAAAACTCCACAACATCAATGCAATGTGTAGTGTGCTGTAAGGGAGAATCTAAACAAGGGATTCTGAGAGTGTAGTAATGGGACAGTTAGCCCAATCCCAGGAACTCACAGGTTCAAGAAACATTTCCTAGTGCAGACAGCACCTGAGTACTCTTAGGTATAGTAATCGTAGTACCTAGAAGAGGACGTGTGGGACAGAAGGGTAAGTAAAGGTACTGAGGCACGTAACAGCTTGCTGTGTGCATGGGGATAAAGGCATGAGCTCCGGGTCCCTGGGGCATATCGTTTGAGGCAGTGGCGAAAGGTGCAAGAAATAGGTAAGGAACAGCTCACGGAGGGCCTATGTGCCATGCAGGAAGGCATAGACTTCATTCTAGGGTGGATAATCAGAAACCATTGAAAGGGTCTAAGCAGGAAGTCCATCATCTGATACACATGGCTTGTGTTTTTCAGCATCCTTAATCCATTACAGGAAAAGTAAGGCCAGTTCTTCAAGTCTCCCTGTTCTTCCTAATATAATATTAATTTGCCCAAGTTTTCATGTCTCAAGACCTCACTATATGGTTCATATGATGGACTAGTCCGAAGAAAGAAATATACCAGACTTTCCCCTCTAATTCTTTCCTTTACTTTGGCAGAATATAACTGAATCGGGATGCAAACAATGTGAGGAACTGGAGGAAAAAAATGTGAAAGAATTTTTACGGAGTTTTGTACATATTGTGCAAATGTTCATCAATACTTCCTGATTGAACCTGGTCCTCTTCAGCATTTCTGCTGTTAACAAACATCTTCCCATTGCTCACTGGCCATGAAACATTCTGCATTTCAAACATGCTGCCAGGACATTTTTCTCAGCAAGAAGATGATCAGGATCTTGGATCAGACAAACTCTTAGAAATGAAGACAGAAAAACGGCATTGAGTAACATAGTGCCTGTGAACTGTCCTCGGACTTATTTTGTTCATTTAGTTTTAATTTATTATTGAAAGTGTACATATTTGTAACATAATATAAAAATGTTGAATAAAATCCCTTATTCAATGTTGAATTCAAGTCCTTTGAAATTGCACTGATATTTTTGACTTCCTAAAAGGAAACGGGACATTTGTTCAAGGGTGGATAGATTATTCACCAACTACAGAGGCTGAGCACGAGTGCTACAGGTAAACGGTTCACTCTAGCTTGTGTGGAACCACTGACTACTGGCTTTCATTTACTTCGCCACTATATGTGTAGCACCCAGAAAAAGAGCTGACTGACAACCAAAGAGGAAAGGAGGAAGTAGGTGTGAAACCAGGGTTCTACTCTGTAACTTAGTTACTGACATATAAGGAACTGTTAGAAATGAAAAAAATTGCAAGTACTAGGCAGGTAGTGTGCATCAGTAAATCTTAGGCGGGGGTGGCACTAAAAGCCTTCCCTCATAGGTAGAATTGGGCATAGAAAACCAATGGTTGCAACAGTGTTTATATTTCATGCTTTTCATGTTCAGGTATTTTATTTTCACGTTCTTTTGCCATGTTTGTAAAATAAACTGCCGATGTGTAAGAGTCAACATTTTTTGTCATAAAATAAGCGTTTATATAATTTTTCACAATATATGATCTAAAATGTGCAAGCTCTCTTTTAATGAATTATGACTGAAATGAAATATTCTTGTCTTATCACACATGCCTTTCACCTAGTGCACTTCTGACAGCCGTCGCTGAGAGACAGGAGGTCGGAATTGATCTACGAATTTGCTGTCTTCCCATTTCACTGTTCAAACCTGTTCTCTTTTGAAAGCCTTTTATTTCCCAGTGCCCCATCCATGCTTATGTATGTCATTGTCCTCATCAATGGATGCATAAAAATTTCTTTCAAGATAGTTTTGGAGCAATCTGTATCTAATTTGACTTTCAAAGAATCACGTGTTGGCTGTTTGTTCCCTGATCTCAGTCCAGACAAACAGTATTTGGCAACCACAGTTTAAAATTTAGGGATTGGGATTATGGCAGTTGTATGTTGTTTGTCTTTGTGTTCTTTTTTTTTTTTTTTTAATTTCATCTGAGATGGAGTTTTTTAAATTTATCTTTTATTGTTTTCCATAGCTTTTCTATTGATGAGGAATAGGAAAAAGGCACCATTTCAAACTGTAACTTTCCAATCCAATCCTTAGACAAAAGTTAGCTTCCCTCCAGTGTTTGTGGGATTGGGGAAGGAAAATCATAATGGCAGTCACCTTGTCAGTAATATTTTATAGTGACCAATAATCCATTCTGGTTAAACACACAAGTGGGTTTAAAATTTGGCGTTTTGTAGTCCTCATTTTAGGATTCCTCCCACATTAGCTACTTAACATGGATCACTTTGGTTGACCTTAAGACACTCAAGGCATAGATATGCAACTTCTTAAAACACTCTTAGCTAACTTAAGAAGCAAAGTAATCATGTAAAACAACCTGAATTTTATTTTTCATGACTGCATTCTTAACAATATCAGTCTTTCCTTTGTGTTTCAAAATTTTCCCTTCTCAGGCTGTCCTCCCTAATTAACCAGCCCAATGTCCTTTTCTTAGACGAGGATATTATGTTTATGCCTCATCTACTGCCCTAAATCTGAAAGTGTTTGTCATATATTACATATAATAAAGAAAGAACAAATCCATAGGCTTAAAACCTGAAGTAGTAAAGGTAAGCCCAATGAAAATCAGGCTTACAGTTCAAGGTCACACTGATGAATTATATTCTTATCTTTTCTTAATTTCAGACACAGCAAAAGATTTGTGAGAAAATATTATTTCTAACCTCTCCCTGAATAAGCAAAGGACTAGAAGGCTGAGGACATGGAAATGAACCAAGACAGAATTAGTGAGCCCAGAGCTTTTTAAAACCCAGTCACAAGTGTAGTTTTATATACTCTCATTCTTTATCTTAGAACTGAGAATTGATGGAATGATTTTGTTTTGCTGCTGTTGCTGTTGTTGTGAGAGGAGCTTATATGTTTTGATGTGCTACTGTTTATAGCCATCAAAGTCAATGGCGCATAAGGTCAAACTGACATATACAATATGAAAATAAAGTAATATGATTGATGTCTCTCCTTCCTCTACACACAGAAATACTACAGAATGCATTTTTGTTCCTTCATCTGTATTATATTGGGTTTCATGTACACTTTCTGCATTCCTATGTGAGCCACGGTTCACATACACATGTCATGTATAAGTATTTCACCCAAAGGAAATCCCATTTCCATAGAGGTTTGGTGTAATACTTCTGAGTGTGTTTGATGACTGAATTTTGTCTTCACTAAGGAATTTATTATGCAAGGTGAACTTTGGTTTCATTGAAAGAATCTATCAGATGTGGGACACAGAAGAAAAATGAATGTATCATTAATAAAGAGTCATGATTTTGCATAATATTTTACTTCTTCAATCCTGGATTTCAAAATAAGTTAACTACTAGAGGAACTGAAGAGGAAATTGTTACACAGGAATGGAATTGAAAATTGCACATTCAGTTTTTACAAACTTTGTCAACACTGTTAGAATATTGTCATCAGAGCATCCAGTGCCACCCAAAAGGTGGTTCATCTTTATCATTAAGGAATTCACTCCTACAGTTACATTGTCACCCAACTTACTGAAAACCTACTGCGTGTGAATATTACGCTAGGTGCTGCAATTATAGTTGTGAATAAGACAGTTGTCATCTTAGCCCTCATAAAGTTTACATTCTAACAGGAAAGTCATGTTATCAAATTAATCACTCGAGTGCTTATCCCATTATTATCAGTTTATGAAGGGCACCAGGAGAGCATATAAAGGGAGGAGCAGATTTGTTCAAGATTCCAGAGAGAGCTTCTTCGAGTTGGTGATACCTGGGTTCAGCTATAAATTGTAATTCAGAATTATCTTGGGTGGGAGGGAGGACAGACAGTGGGAACAATCAACTGGAGAAGCAGCCTGCCAAAACCGCCATCAGGAAAGATTAAGGCTATTCAAAAAGCAGAAGGAAGGCCAGAGTGGCTAGGGTCAGAGAAGAAACTTAAAGGAGCTGGTAAGATAAGTATCATCTGGTCTTATCGGCTGTGGTAAGGATTTTGCTTTATACTCCAAAAGAAAGGGACTCTTATTTTGACATGTATTAAAAAAAACATAGGAAGCATTGTTTCTACAGTAGTATCCAGAGAAGAGTTCAAGTCAAAATCTCCTTACCACGAAATCCCAGGATAATAAAATTATTTCTAAGAACCTCATCTTACATCGGCCCCATTATTGCAATTATTTAATGAATTCCTTGCAACACTTAATGGAGATCAACTTCAGCGAGTAATTATTCTTTCACTGTCAAAAACAACAAGTGTGTCTGCATTATACGTGTCATGAGACAACCAGGTCAGGAGCATTAACATAAGTCCAGTGTTGGGTTCTGAGGACAATCAGAATTGATCTGTGGTCGACATCTTAACACAAGAAAGGCTTCTTGAAAGAAGATCTTTCTAAGTCAATTGTTAATGAGAACTACTTGATAGGAGGATGGCCAGTCCTTTTTCATTGTGAAAATAGGGTAGAAGTAGGCACCAGGATACACATAATAATAGCTAGCATTCTGCTACACCGGTGATAAGACACAGTTAAAACAGGAGAAATGGAAAGAGACAAGGCAGGTGTGACTGGGTGGAGAGAGAGAAAGCAGTTACACTGCATATAATCAGGGACTCATGGGGTTAGGCTGTATGGCAGCTTAGAAGAGACAAAGGCTGATGTGCTTAAGGAGAGGGTAGGAGAGGAGCAATACATCTGAATAAGTGACAGCTAAGAGCCTAAAGGTGAGACTAGAATGCCGATGCAATGATGGTTCCACACGACAAGTGCCATCTTTCAAGGATTTGAAAGATCATGATCATCAGCCAAGTTCAGTTTCCTGAGTTGATTTAATAATATCCAAACTCCCAGTGTGTCTTTTAGTTCTGCTCTCTAAGGACACACCAGGCTGATGGAAATAATAATCCTCTTACACTTTTATGGTTCTTTAAAGTTCACAAAGCACTTTTATCTGTATTATTTTATTTGATAAGAGTTTCTGTCCTTCATGGGTATAGATGAGAAGCAATGCAGAGCCTGTGAAACATTTTGCTGAGGTTACTGATGTGTGAAAAACAAAAAAGAAAGAAATCACCAGAAATTTTGGTCCACATTCAGCTGTGTATTTATTCTCTGCCCTATTCGCCTTTATATTTCCTTTCAAATAAAGCATGAGCATAATACTTGGGGCGGAAAATTATTTGTAGTTAAAGAAATCAAAACAGAATTTAAGCCTGGATTTTTATTCCATATTTTGATTATTTTTTCTTCACACAATTCTGTTCTGCTGTTTTGTTTGCTTTGCCCAGATGGCAAATGCACCATTAAGTTTATCCAGCCTGAATTAATTATCTTTTTATGGTATAAGAAAATCCTTTTCTTCTGACAAGTGAGATGTTTGTGCTGTATTTATGAATAAATAGAGGCAGTTGTTATACACAGCATTATTAATAGCATTGCTTTAAACATCTCAGCTGAAAAGAAATCCACTCTTTTCAATATAATATAAGCTCTTGGTATCCCAGAGTTTATTAAAGAGTGAAAACCACAAACCCGTTTTCCACACTGCAGCCTAATAAGAAAAATATCACACTTTCTATTGAAGAAGCATTCAGTGCAAAATTGCAGACATAAGGCTGTACTCTTTTAAATTGTTATTGTCTGTGCTCATCATTTGGCTCTGATTTTCAGTGCTTCACAGGTTAAGAGCAGAGGTCCGCTAAGTGGCTTTCTCTGGAAACAGAAGGTTAACAGGCAGGCACAGACATTACCTAAATGACCACAGTGATGCTATTACTGCTTTTCAGTTGAATGGCTTTTTGATGGGTGACATAGGCATTGTAGAAGGGATTTTTCCTTTGGTAAGAGACAGCAGGTGTGCAAAGCACAAGACTACTTTCTTCTCCCAGAGAGGTCTTCTGAACTTGGAGACAGAAGAGGGACAACAAAGAACCCCCGTTCGATCATCCCTCTTGGAGGCATCTGATTGGGCTTCAGACTTTCCCAGTTTTCAGGAACTTGGTTTCCCATGAGGCCACAGTTTCTCAGAAGAGCTGGCTTGTCCCTAAGGATTTATTTCATTTCTTAGTGATCTTTATTTTATTTCCAACAACAAACATAAAATATGTTAAAAGGAATAAATATTTGCAAACAGTGGTGTACTGAAGGTTGGCAGCGGGAGCCCCAGTTGCAGGCTTCAGTGGGATACATTGTCTGTCGAGAATTGAAAAACAATAATGAAACTGACTGAAGGTCTGTCTGTCTTTATGATCACTATGTGCCAGCCATTTTAAAGAATTCCAGTGGTAAAACACAGGCGGTCCCCGACTGACATGATTTTTTTTTACTTTACTATGGTACAAAAGTGATATGCATTCAAGTAAAGAAACCACACTTCGAATTTTGAATTTTGATATTTTGCCGGGCTAACAATATTTGGTACAATACTCTCTCATGATGCTGGACAGCAGCCTGTTTTTCACTTTCCAAACGCTTTATATTGCTTTGATTTCTCTGTCACCTTCATCACCACTCAAAGACTTCTTAGCCTGGAGTCTACAGATAACTACAGGTTGTCCATGCATAGGTTTCAGGGGGTCTCTAATCCTCAGGAAGTAAATATAAG